AGATGTCAGTGGGTGATGGCATCACAGAGAGGTCAGTGGGTGACCCGGGTCATGGAGGGGTCAGTGGGTGACCCGGGTCATGGAGGGGTCACTGGCTGACCCGGGTCATGGAGGGGTCACTGGCTGACAGGGTCATGGAGAGGTCAGTGGGTGACTGGGTCATGGAGGGGTCACTGGCTGACCCGGGTCACGGAAGGGTCAGTGGGTGACCCGGGTCACAGAGGGGTCAGTGGGTGAGTGACCCAGGTTACAGAGGGGTCAGTGCAGTCAGTTGCTTTGGGGGCTGAGCATCACAGCATGGGAAGCTCTTCAAGTAAGACCTTTGAAAGGGAATGTGTGGTGGTAAGGTGCAGTGTAGTGGGCACGGGCATTGACACTGTTCTGTGCAGCATTAACCCTGAATCCAGAGGCTGTGTGATATGCCTCATGCCAAGGTTCAGGTACCTGCTGAGGGCTGGAGAGGAGCTTGCAGTGTCTGGAGGTAAATGCCTGTCTCATGGTGCGTGTCGATGTGAACATTGACTGGACAGTGAAGGAGGTTCAGCAGAGTTAGGGACAACATTGAAGTCCTGGACTTCAAAGGTCTTAATCTCTAGACTATTCCATAACAAATTGGCACAGGGAAAACTACATCAGAGAGATGAATGTTTTGCTGATATGCAGGTGTGGGAGAAGTGGGTTCCAGTTTGTGGGGCACTGGCACCAGGACATGGGAAACTGGGATCTATGCTGTTGGGAGGATCTTCCCCTGAAATGTGCTGGGGCTGGTTTTCTTGCTGAGTATATAACGAGGGAGGCAGAGAGGGTTTTAAACTGAGTTGTGGGGACAAAGGATCACATTTGGGAAGATATGTTAAACGGTAGAGCTAAGGCAAAAGAAAAAGATATTAATGTAGGAAATGATAAGGAAATATGACAGGAAGAGATAGATTACTCAAATCCAAGAGATAAGGCTAAATTTTACAAAATTAACAAAAGGATAAAGCTAAAGGGTCTGTATTTGAATAAGTGTAGTGTTCAAACCAAACCGAGAAACTGGGAGGTGAATAGGCCTGATCCAGGAGACATGGCGGATTGAGACCTTCAAACTGAACCATACAGGAAAATATTTGGGAAGGGCAGAAAGTTAGGGAAATGTGGAGGGTGTCTTTGTTAGTAATGGTATCAGTGCAGTAGAAAGGGGATGATCAAGTCAATGAAATCAGGATGCAGAAACAGTTTGTGTAGAAATGAGAAATGATAAAGGCTACAATTTATTTGTGGGAGTGATGAACTGGTCCCTTATAGTAATCACTTGGTGGAGTGGAATACAAAGGAAGATAATGGGGAGCTGTCAGAAAGGCATGTTGATAATCATGGGGGATTTTAATTACATATAGACTGGAAAAGTCAGATAGACAAAGGTAGCCCAGAGGGGAAGTTCACCGAATGTTTTCAGGGTTGTTTCTTCGAACAAGACCCTTTTTATAGCCAATCCGAGAGCATCTGGTATTGTGCAGTGAGAGGATTAATAACATATTAATGAAATAGTGAGATTTTTCAGAGCTCTAAATGGAAAGGGAGCTGGGTGTTATAATGTAGGAATCACAGAAGGTTAGCAATTGGATACACCAAATAGTTAGAAAAGTTGTAGATTGTTATGTTTTATTGTGAAGGGAATTGAATATAATGGTTGGGAGTTATGCATCAGTTATACAGGGCATTGGTGAGACCCTATCGGGAGTACTGTGTACAAAACTGGGCACTGCATCTAAGGAGGCAATTCAGAGGTTTACCAGCCTAATCCCTGGAATGAGTGGCTTAACTTATGAGGGAAGCTAAGCTTGTATCTGCTGGAGTTTAGAAAAGTAAGCAGTGACTTAGAATCACAGAATCCCAACGGTGTGCAAAGAGGCCATTCTGTCCATTAAGTTTGCACTGACCCTTCGAAAAGCATCCCACCCAGACTCAGCCCCCCATAACCCTCCATTTCCCATGGCTAATCCATCGAACGTGCACATCCCGGAACTTGATTGAAACACATAGGATCCTGAGGAGTCTTATCAGAGGTGGTGTTTCCTCTTGGGATAAAATCTGGAACCAGTGGGTCATTGTTTAAAATCGGTGTTGCCAATTGAAAACCGATTTTATTTTTCTGAGGGTCTTAGATTTTGAACCTCTCTCCCTGAGAAAGTGTTGGAAGCAGAGTGCTTTAATATTGAGCTTTGTACAGTAAGGGGCTGAGAGGCTCTCACAGAGAGGTGGGAATGTGGATGTGAGGTGACAGTCACATTAGCCATGTCATTATTGAATGGTACAGCAGGCCCAAAGGGCTGAGTAGCCTCCCCTTGCTTTGTGGTTTGTTTCGTTGATTGTTTCATTTCTCTGTCGCAGAGTTTCTTGTTTCTGCTGTCTTCAGATTACGAACGCAGTGAGTGGCGAGAGGCGATTGAGAGACTCCAGAAAAAAGGTACGTTGGGACTGCGTTGACTGAAGTGTCTCTGAGCTTTTGGCAATGTAGCTACCCTGACAGAGGCCCCAAGGACCTGATCCTAAAGCCCAGCTCCTTAGCCCTGACTCCCACTACAGTTGCCAAGCTCAGGCCTCTGGCCTGGTTCATCTGTGGGAGTGTCTGACTGCTAGCAATTACATCACTGGCTGACAGTGAGAGTATAACTCCTGACCCACGGCAGGAATGGCCTGGATCAGCTCCCACTGAATGTGCAGTGAAAGTGTTAAAATGTATTTCTCATTCTCTCCTTTTATTTTCTGTCCCTTCACCCATATCTCTTCTTCATGTCTCCCCTCTCTCCCCCTCAACCCTCTGTATCTTGCTCTCTTTCTCGCCCCATTACCACTTCACCCTCTTTTACCTTTCTCTCTCTCCTCCCCTCCCTATCGCCCTCATCTTTCCCCTCCCTATTGCCCTCCCCGTTTCTCCACCACCACCACCCCACTCCCCGAACAGAGCTGCAGGGTTTTGTGCTCAGTTCCCTGGAGTTACAGATGCTGACCGGTGCGTGTGTGAAACTGAGGACCGTCCACAATATTCCTGTCACCAGCAATAAAGAGGGTGAGAGTCTGGTGTCGGGGGGTAACGGATCGGTGAGGACGGGTATGGGGTCGGTGTGTGGGGGAAGTGAGGGGTCAGTGTCAGGGAGGTGAGGGCTCAGTATTAGCAGGGTTAGGGTCGGTGTTGGGGAGGTGAAGGGTCAGTGTTTGGGGGGAGTCAGGAGTTGGCGTTAGGGAGTTCAGTGATCAACGTTGGGGGTGGTCAGGGGTCGGTGTTAGGGAGGTGACTGATGAGTGTTGGGGGGTTGGGGGGGGTGTCAGTGTTGGGTGTTAGGGAGGTGAGTGATCAGTGTTGGGAGGTTGGTGGGGGTCAGGGTTGGGTGTTAGGGAGGTGAGTGATCATTGTTGGGGGGGTGGGTAGGGTCAGGGTTGGGTGTTAGGGAGGTGAATGATCAGTGTTGGGAGGTTGGGGGGGTCAGGGTTGGGTGTTACGGAGGTGAGTGATGAGTGTTGTGGGGGAGGGTAGGGTCAGGGTTGGGTATTAGGGAGGTGAGTGATCAGTGTTGCGAGGTTGGGGGTGTCGTCAGTGTTGGGTGTTAGGGAGGTGATGATCAGTGTTGGGTGGTGGGTAGGGTCAGGGTTGGGTGTTAGGGAGGTGAGTGATGAGTGT